GTTCATCGACCATTACCCTGCAACAGGTTAAGGTTGATTTGGTTTCCCTCGCTGATTGTGGCTCAAGCACTTATTCCTACGGCCAGGACAAGATCTTGGAAACCATGGTCTGTGCCTACACCGAGACTAAGGATGCCTGCCAGGGTGACTCTGGTGGCCCATTGGTCGCCAATGGTGAGCTTATCGGCGTTGTTTCCTGGGGCCAAAGCTGTGCCAAGGCCAACTATCCTGGTGTCTATGCCGATGTTGCCTCTCTTCGCACTTGGATTCTGTCCACTGCCGCAAACTTGTAAATCATTTGAATAAAATTTATATATTCGATTAATTAATCAGAGGTTTTTCTTCTCACTTTCCCTTTCCTACGTTTTTAAGGCACAATTTAGAGTTCTTCATGCATATCTTCACAGAATACTGTTTCTCATGTGTAAATATTTATATTCATTTATGGATATGATTCAGCTTAAAGCTTAAATCATATTTAGCCACAAATTGGTTATTTTTGCATTGTTTATTCTCTCTAGATGGCTACAGTTTGAGCTTGCGTCTAATGGCTTTTAATCCTCTTGGCCCAATGTCAATCTGTAAACATTATCGTGCCATCAGTTAGCCACATGACAGCAGCAGCAGCCAAGGCATGGCACAACTTGTCTATAACTTGCTCATTTATTAAGTTCTAATAGACTGACATACACACACGTTCTCTAACCACAGCTCAGCCACAAAACAAGCCACTCGAAACCAGCTGAAAATATGCAAAGAATTATTAGAAGTGAGTGGAGAACTTTTGACGAGGATGAGCAAGGACGCAAGACGACGACGACGACGACGACGACAAGTTGACTAACTGCCTCAGTGGGCAGAGGGATCGGTTACCCCAACTAACAACAATATACATATATAAAGAGTTTGTGTATGCGTGTGCGTGTGTGTTGTGACTTGAGTTTGGGCTGTGTGTCCATAAGATACATTGAGTTCTTGTCGTCGACTTGGTTTAAGTTTTTGTGCTCGAGCACCGTTTTGGCTTTGGCCATATGTAAAACTTTTAGCAAACATGACAGCACAAACGAATAATATCGCATGCTATAAATTACACTTAAGTATTTAACAGCTTTATGGAAAACAACAACGACAACCACTGGCACGCCCACAGCTTGGGCAATAAAACGACGTCTGCCAACCGGATCCTAGGCTGTGCGTGGGTGCCGGACAAAAGTCGCGTCTAAATGTTATCTTTTATCTAAAAAAAGAACAGCGAAACATTTTTAATCAAAATGCCCGACTGGGCGTGGCCAAAGGCAAGCAATCGATATCAGCCACAGCTTGAATAGTCAACGATTCGAAGACATAAAAATATCTTAAGTAAGCTAAGAAGAGACTTATATGCGTCAACATTGGAAGTAATTGAGAGCTTTTAGAAATTGTGTATAAGGTACTGTAAAGCTATCGATAGCGACTTCATTCGATGCATCGATCGACATAACAGCTCGCAACTACCAGTGGAAAAATTAGTTTTTAAACCTTTTATATTAAATAAATAGTTACAAATAAAATTTAATCTTTTTAAAAAAATATATTAAGATTCAAAAACAACTTTTGTAACAACTTTTGAAAATTCTGAATTAGTTATTAAAAACTAAATCAGTTAATCTTTTAAATTTAATAATAATTACAATTATTTAATTAATTTTAATCTTAAAATTATAACATTGATTGTTATTCAAGAAAATTAATTTATTACAATTTTAGGATTTCAAAGAATTTCTAAGAGCTGCCTTAACAGCGTTTGACTTGCTAAACATTGCTTGCTGAGATGCGACTCAATTAAAATATATGTTATTTATATGAAAAGATTATTTAAAAATTAATATCCATAGATACTATTGACTGTGCCATCGACAAATCTAACAGCTCTAATTTAGTTTAGATAAATTTGTTCTCCAATTTGTTAAAATAAAACTATAATTAAATAGATATTTGACACAGCTTAAATGGCAATTCACATGGAATCTGACGACAACAAAATGCTATCGATAAGTTAAACAGCTGCTACAATACAGTCAGTGCAAATAGTATCACTCTAGCTTGGTCGCTCTAAGAAGAAATTTGCAATTCAAAGTTCACTTTCATCTATTCAGCGCATCACTCAAAGTGCAACACTCAATTCAATATTCGATTTAAGCCCCATCATAATCCAAACCAATCTAAAGTAATCTAAAACAAGTTTCATTCAAAATATTGATGAATATTAAGTAAAAGTCAATAAATACGACTGAACACAATATTTTACAAACAGTTATCAATTTTCCATTTAGTTAGTATGCCGTATGCTGACCAAAAATATAAAAACAACACTCTGCTGCAACATTTGCGGGACATATTGTTGCACAGGCTCGGCTTGTGGCTGCATAGTTTGTACAGTAATCAACTGCCTGAAATGCTTTTCGTGGCAAGGCCGTGATTTAGTATCATATTTGCCCAGCTACCAAAAAACAAAGTACCCAAAAAAAGATGGCCAAAAATATTGCATACTTTTGGGCCTGGCTCAAATGGACAGCAATTGACCCGGCTACAACAAAAGTTGCACCCCTCGCTCTGGCTCCCTCGATTCCCCTTGGCAACCAGAATGGAGAGAGCCAGTGAGAGAGACAGAGAGAGAGGTGCAATAGCAATGTTCGTTCGTTGGTTCGTTCAGGCAGGTGTAAAATTATATGCCAGTCGTGTGGCATATGCGGCATGTGGCATGCAGCACAAATAGCTGACGTGCAACCCAAAATATGCGAACAACAGAAGCGAGCGAACACCCTAACCCTCAATCATTCGATGGGCATGGCAATTGCCAAAATAAAAAATTAACAATCTTAATTACAGCCATTTAGCAACAGTTGGAATTTAGTGTATCTAAATCGAAATATCTTTTATAGATCTAGATCAGTTTGACTGCACTTGAGATATTGGACTTAAAATGACTTTTTATAAATATTAATTTAAATACTTATTTTTGAATAAGAAAAAATATAATAATAATAATAATAATAATAATAATAATAATAATAATATAATAATAATATCAAATATTTAAATAAAAGAAAATGTTAATATGTAACAACTCATTTTAAAAAATAATAACAAATAAAATTAAAAAGAAATTAATAAAAAATTACAAATTAAATAATACACAAAAAAATAAAATAATAATAGATAAAATAAAAATAAATGAGTTACTTTTATAATAATAATTAAAATAATATAATAATAAATAAAACAAAAAAAATAAATAAAGTAATAAAAAATATTCACAAATAAAATATTAGAAAATAAAATAATAAACTAATAAAATATATAAATAAATTATGTAAGTCACAAATATGAAAAAAGTGATTTTTAGAATCAATTTGATAACTATACGTATTTGAGTAAAAGATAATTTGATTTAAAGTTTTAATAAAATTCAATGCACAATAAATCTTGCTTAAAACTAGAATGTATTGAATGAAAGTGTTTGCTGAAGCTGAGGCAAAGTTATGTATTTTAATGTATTTCTAACTCTCGATATTTCACGCAGAGTTGAGGCGCATCAAAACTACTTTTATAGTATGGAAAGTGTATAAGAATGTAAACTTTTAACACATTTGCTCTCGAAGCGCCATTTACATGAGTTCAAATTAAAGTAGAGCGTATGATAATGATATGAAACTGAATGGAAATGTATTTCGAGGGTCTGTTGATAGAAGCAGCAACAACTGGACGTTGAGTGCTTGCTCGACCCAAACACTGACAGGCGGCGTTAATATGAGTGCATTTTAAATATATATAAACTTTTCACACACACTCTCCCTCTCTCTCTCTCTCTCCCTCTCACTCTCTCTCTCTCTCTCTCTCATATGCTTATTACATAATGGCAGCTGACTTTTGTGCACATAACACATACGCCATGTGGCCATCAATAGCAGCAGGCATTGGGTAAAAGACAGGGGCCAACTGTGAGGGTCTGCCAAATGCCAAAGCTGAGCCGAGGCATTTTCTGACAGTTATGACTGGGATTCAAATGTAATCAACAATTTTTAACTTGCTTTAACTTCAGTCCCAGCTTGAACCACAGATGCGAACAGGTTTATTATCTCAATCATCTGCGCTGTGCTGCGCTGCAATCAACTGTCAGATTTTGGGTTAGTCGCATAAAAGTTCACTCACTGGCAAAGTATAAAAATCACTTGCTGCCACTCATCTCCCTTACCTCGTCTTCGTCTTCGCCTTCTGCTCCTTCTTTTTGCATAATATAATAATAATTTAAGCTCGCCTGAATGGCAGTGTTTGGGTCTGACCGAGCGGCAAACTCAAGTGGGGAACTGTGTCAATTTCATGAATGAGTGTGTGTGTGTGTGAGGGAGTGAGTGTGTGAAGGTAGCTGTATAACTGTGTGTGTATAAGTTAGTGGGTTGCTATAAAAATTAATAAAAACATTGGATGCCTACTGAATATGAGTAAAAGAATTTAAAATTAAATAAATTTCAAAATAATAAAATAAAAATAAAAAAATAAAATAAATAAAATAAACATATATATATATATATATATATTATAATAAATATTATATAATATATAATTATTATAGCTGAAATTCATGTTCGAAATATAAAAAACAATTATATATTAATTTTATATTATATATTTATTATATTATATATATAGGTATAGTAAGTGATTTCCCTGAAACATATATGCAAGGCCACAAGAAGTCGTCTAAGGGATATTTATTACCCACAAAGATTATGGTATCTGTAGCACATATAATTTATAAAAATTACAGGTTTTATTTTTAGTAGATGTCTTCGTCGTAATAACATTGAGCGCGTGCTGTTCTTCTAATCTAAGTGACGTCTTCTGAGAATTTATGTGCTCGCGACATGGCTGTACGATAGATGACGCTTGATTTACAATTTGACTGGCAAACAGTTTGATAAGAATTAGTATAAAAGCGCTGCGATGCGATAGGTGTTTAGTATAGTATTTACTAAGAATATGAATCGATTGATTGTGAGTTTCGTTGGGCTATTGGCCTGCTTGGCCGCCTGCCAGGCAATGCCCGAACAGGAGTTTCCCTTTGGACGCATCGTCAATGGCGAGCCAACCACCATTGAGGCGCATCCTTACCAGGTGTCCATTCAGACGACCAAAGGTGCCCACTTCTGCGGCGGCAGCTTGATCGATTCGCAGACGGTTGTCACCGCTGCCCATTGCATGCAATCGTACAAGGCCAACGAGATGCAGGTTCGTCTTGGCTCTACTGATCGTAATAAGGGCGGCGAAGTTGTGAGCGTTGCGGCTTTCAAATTCCACGAGGGCTACAATAGCAAACTGATGATCAACGACGTTGCTGTGATCAGGCTTAGCTCTCCAGTTCGTCAATCAGCCAACGTACGCTTTGTTTCATTGGCCAAGACCACACCACCATCGGGCACACCTGCTGTTGTCACCGGCTGGGGCACCACCTGCTTCTTGTTCTGTTCATCGACCATTACCCTGCAACAAGTGGAGGTTGATTTGGTTTCCCTCGCTGATTGCGGCTCAAGCACTTATTCCTACGGCCAGGACAAGATCTTGGAAACCATGGTCTGTGCCTACACCGAGACTAAGGATGCCTGCCAGGGTGACTCTGGTGGCCCATTGGTCGCCAATGGTGAGCTTGTCGGCATTGTTTCCTGGGGTCAAGGTTGCGCCAAGGCTAACTACCCTGGTGTCTATGCTGATGTTGCTTCTCTTCGCACTTGGATTGAGTCCACTGCCGCAAACTTGTAAATCATCTGAATAAAATTTGAATTCGGTTAATTAATCAGAGGTTTTTATATATTCATATATATATAAAGTTTTTGAGATTTCATCAAACGCACCTCTGAAAAACGACTACGTATATGTGCTTTAGAGTATGTGTGTGAATGTGTGCGTGTGTGTGCTTGTGCTTGAGTTCATCAATCATATTTAAATCAATTAAGTCAAGTTATGGCTGATGTGTGGAAGCCTCGGCTTTTAGCTGTTTCGAATTGCACGCCAAATAGTTTAAGCTGCGAGCTTCAACAGACGCAAGCGACCGCATATTTAATTAATTATTCCACTGATGCCACGCCCACCTCACACGCACACAGTGGCGTACGGGCAGCCATTCATAAACATTAAAAAGTTGCTCAAGTGCATGTCAAACTTGGTAAGTGCAAGAAATAACTAATTAAAAAATGCATTTTATTTTCGTTTTATATTTTCATTTTCAGCAACTATTGCTGAAGACAGTTAAAAGTGAATTTTCAAGGGTTCATTTATATTATTTTTATTTTAAAATAAATAAGAAAAAACGTACAACTACTTACCGTAGCTATGCGCCTGTATATAAATGTTTTTACATATTTCATTTAATGTTTATATATATTTTGTAAATTTTTTAATACATATATTAAATTTTTTAAAATTAAATATATTATATATATATATACATATATATATATATATATATATATATATATATACATTTGATATATATTTTTATAAGCCAAGGTTTCAGTGTGAATATATAAAACATACATATATATAACATATTCCAAATGGCTTATAATTATTAATTAAAATGACAAGAATATAAAATTAAATATCTTTACAAATTATAAAAAATACTATTAGAATTTTTTAGGTTTCATAAAATTGTAAATTTGTTTAAGTTAAAGGAAGCCACTAATAATATAAATATGAAAAAAATATATTAGAGTTTTACATTAACATAAACAGTTAACATCTATGATCCATGTCAATTATAATCATATAGCCTTTTCGAGACATTTCTAGGGTATTTGAAGTTGTGCTACAAAACTTATTTGGGTCAAACTCGATGCTCGCCGGCTTTGGCTATGGAGTTGGCATTTGCCTGCTGCTGAGGCTGGCCATAATGTCAGCCAGTCAGGCCACTCATTACTCATTTACCATAAAACTTTTCTTGACTTTTCATATTTTCTAAAATGCACACTAACACACGCACACACACACAGAGAGAGAACTTTAGTTCTCATTGTATTGATTTTGCTGAACCATTAAGAACAAATTGTGGGCTGCCAAATGGGTTAGTGGAAAAGCGAGCGCGGCTTTTGGGGATGGGCCTTTGAGGCACAGCGGGGCAGAAGTGAAAAAGCCGGCCAGACAACAAATCGCCAGCTATAAATTCTGCACTTAAAAAGTTTGCACAGTTTGAGCATTTTGCGGTTGTCCTTGTTGTAGCTCGGACTTTTTGTACAATAAATTTTTTTTTGCTAGGCTTTTAGGGCTTTGTATTTTTATATATCATATATATATATATTTCTATATATATATACATATGTATAAGCTTCTATTCACATTAAAAACTGACACACAATTGTGGGCGTGGCTAGCTTTTACACATGTTTCGCTTGGCATTTGGGCAACAAGTGGCTGTGAAGGTCCTTGACCAACTGTCTCCGCATTTTGCGGTGGGATGCGTGCACTTGATTGCGGCTAAGATTGTTCAAACTTGGATTGTTAGAAACTCTAACAAATGAAAATATATTATCTATATTTATGCTTATATACAGTTAAGAAAATGTTTAATATATAAAAACAACTGCTTTAATAAGAGACACCCATTGAAAGAACAAATTTAAACCTTAAACTTTTAGTCAAAGCAAACAAATGCCATATCACTCGGAAATACAAACAAACACACTCTCACACACACTCTCACACACCCGCACCGTTTAAAGTCCACAACAAAGCGCTGAGTGCACCACAGGGGACCGCAGCAAGGGCCAGGGAGAGGAGGAGAGCAAGAGCTAGACCGAAGGGAGCTGCTACTTGCAACATGCCACAAAAGTTCGACACAGAGCAGCTGTGTGCCATGAAAAACATGTTGCGTGAAAAACTATTAACTTGTTGTTGTTTTTTTGCTCCTCTTGTTGGGCATTAGATAAGGTAGTGAGCAGAGCGTCAGAGCTTGTCTCAAAAATGTTGCAAGCAGAGAGCTTAAGTATTAATATGAAAATAAATAATAAAATAAATTAAAAATGAAATAAATATTTAAAATGATATGCAGCAATTTAGCTTAATACAGATTCTTTTCTACGATCTCAGTTATTATGCCTGTAACTGTAATATTGAGCAGCAGCTCAATGCGAGCTCTAAGACTGTGCATTATACATAGGGTGTAGATATACCCACTAAATCTTCTGGATATAGATAGTAAAAAGATATATAGATGTGGAAGATAAAGAATAGACTTCGGAATTAGCTGTAAAAAGAGTTTACTTTAAGAACCTTGAAGAGCGTCGAATCACAAGACAGGTCAAACGGATTCGATCCACGAACTTTTATTTCGTATATACCTGTCTCTTTACCTGTGCAGCTAGAGGTCAAATATTTCTTTATTTCTTTATTTTTGTTGTCGACTTCTTGAGTTTTCAGATTAAATATTTCAGAGTGTTTATTTTTTGAACTCAGTCTTCAACTGACTCTCATTGCTTTTATCTGTCTCGATTTCCTTTTTATTTTCAGTTAATTTATTTTTCAGATTTCAGATTAGATATTTCAGAATCTTTATTCTTCAACTCAGTCTTCAACTGATTTTCAATGTTATTATTGGGAGCTAATAAATCTTTAATGTAATCAACAAGAGCTCCAGCAAGGCTCTTATACAACAAATCGTTTTTTGTCAAGCAATATTTCCGATGTGAGGCAGACGATTTGAGTTGATTCTCTTGCAACTTTATATTATATTTGGTTGTTCAGTGCCGTGAACTTCTTGATCTGATCGATGAAGCCAATTGTAACAGGGGCTTTACGATTATATATCGATATATATCGATATACGATTATATATCTGCCGCATTGCTCATCCAATTTCCCGCTGCCTTCAGGCATTGCTGAAATAGATTCAACTCACAATTATCGATCACAAACACAAACAGGTCACATTTATTTGGTTAACTTACCGAATTGTCTATACTTTCATGCATATGCCCTGAATTGCTATTATCAATGGTAACATTTCACAAGTTCAAAGTAATTATGTTTTTTTTTTTTGCTTAATTATTTCTTTACCCCATGAAATAATTTACAATTTGAATGCGGCAGCAAAGCCTCTTACATTCTGCTTAAATTATGCATGCCGCTTCTCAGCTGCGCAAGTTTGGGCCAAAGTTTTAAATATTGTTAGCGGGTTTTTCTAAGCAGCAAACAGACGCATTTGCCATATGATATATGCCTGTGGTGCGGCTGTCGTGGGCAAAGTTTTACGACTCCAATGTACATACATGTGTATATGTTTTTCTTAACTGAAAGTTTGGCTAACATTTTGTTGCCGTTGCTTTTGCTGTTGCCGTTGCTTTTTACACACCTTATCAGCAGCGCTTTTTGCACCATTTTGCAATTGTTGCAAATTTGTGCGTCGCTTAAGTGATTTTTGGTGTAGCATACTTTCGAGCGCCTGTCTAAGTCGCATTCTGCATGCACGGTCAACAAGCAGTGGCCTCTCTTTCCTTCCCTCTCTCTCGCTCTAGCGCTGCTCTACATTTCACGCACGTTCCAGCTGCGTCTTGGTATCTAGGTATTAAAGTCGTTTAGCCAGGCAGCCAAAGATAACTTGAATTGTGGTTCTTTTCGCCTTACTTTTGTACAATTTGCTGCTTTATTTCGCATGTTTATTTTAGAGATAAACAATTTTAAAGCATAATAAAGCCAACAATTATATTTTTAATATCAATATACAGCACTTTATCAGCCAGTTAATTTAATAACATAATGTTTAAATGGAGCTGCCAATTAGTAATGAGGAATATTAATATTAATCTACAGCCCCTTAAAGTGGTTTCGACCAAAACATGTGGATTATCCCCACTGCAGACGCGATTATTTTGCTTATAAATAAATCAATAAAAATAAAAAAAAAAAAATATATATATATATATATATATATATATATAAATATAAAATATATAAAATATGCCGTGAATATGGGCTTTATACGACTTAAGTTCTTAAGCAGCACAACCTGCTGAGCCACGTCCGTATATCTATTGGCCTGTCGTCTTGACCCTTAAGCCTATTAGAGCTAAAGACGGAAAGTTACAAATTTCAAATTTAAAATTTGAAATAATCAAGCTGAGGTTAGTGAATCACATCTCCCACGCCATCTTCACTAGACAAGAAGTTAAATGATTAATAAATATTTTTCAAGTCTCCGAGTTACACATGTCTTTTCACATGTCTCGAGGTTTGTGTTTGTGTGTTGGGTTTCCTTGGAAGACGACTTCTATAATTTAACATTAAGATTTGAGCATTTGACGTTTTGGGCTGGCTTATTGTTTTTCGCTAGTCGAGCAGCTTCCGCTGCAGCTTCCGCAACAAGGGCTGCCCTCTTAACCAGACCCAGATTGAGAGCTCGAGCTGAATGCAGACACCCAGAGCTGGGAGGCTTTTAGGGCAGACGGCAACAGCGGCACCGCTTTCGCTTTCGCTTTTTCTCTGCTCGTTTTGGCTTATTAAACATTTATTGTGTTTGCCGGAGTTTCCGCTACAATTTGTTTTAGGCTTCCTGTTTTTTTTTTACAGCGTCTCTCTCCCTCTCTCTTTCTCTCTCTCTAGTCGTGTGTTGTTCACTCACGCCTTCTTTATTTTAAATCCGAAACCGTTTACACATCAACAACTTGGCAACTTGGCACTCTCTTATCTTGACTGAATTTGATGTGTCCCATGTGTGCTACGTCCCTCCATCATCTGCACTAACAAACAAAAGGATATGCAGGATAATGGCATTGGCGTGATTACACGCTCCCTCCCC